CTCGGTGCGAGCCCGCGGCGCCCCCGCCCCGCCCCGCCCGGCCCGGCCCGGCCCGGCCCGCTCTCACCTCAACAGGCGGCCCGGAACCTTCCCGCCCCCCGCGCCGGCCGCCGCCATGTCGAGGCCGAGCGCGGCTCTTCCCGCTACGGGCCGCGCCGAGGCTCAAACATCGCCGCGCCGCCACGGCGCGGCCGGATGGAATTATGAAAAAGCCCAACCGAGCAAGCAAGAGTCCCAACCAAACCCATAAACACTGCTGCTTAGGCATGGAAGCGGGAAAACTGTGTTTAAATCAGGACTGCAAGGCAGACTGAGCCCTCCCCATCCTGTGGTGCGGTGTGCCTCGTGCCCTTCCTCGGCCTCGGAGTGCGTTCCTCCGCACTCGGTGATGGAAATGCACATTTTGGATTGGCTCTCGCTGGCAGGTGAGCAGATAGCGGGAAGGTTCTGGATCATAGTAAGCCCACGCCCTGGCCGAGAGAGGCTAAACGAGAGCAGTTAGGGTGACAGTGCTGCTCAGTGCTCCTTGAACTGCAGGTGCGCTGGGCTGCTGCGAGACAAAGCCTTTGTTCCTGCAATCCCCCATCACAGCCAGCACCTCCTGCCGCCAGCCAAGCAGCACTAGGGCAGCCTAAACATCTCAGCTTGCCCCTCTGACGTTCCTGACTCAATTATTCACATTAACAAGAACCTCAGACATCCCCCAAATTATTACACCTCTTGAAATATTAGATAAAACTGGCCCAAAGGCCTAAAAATTACACGGGTTAAAAACAACAACAAACAAAACCAATGAACCCCCCAAAGAAACAAACAAAAGGCCAACAAAACAAAAAAAAATCTACAAGCTAAGAGGTTTTCCTTTAACAAGCACTGCAGTAGAAATCTCAGTTGCCTAGTAAGGGTCACATGCTTCAGATGTTTTACCAGCATTATGGACCACAGTAAATTGGTGCTGTATTGACCCAACTATGATCTTGTTATGCTCCTCGAGCAGCTACAGAAACTTCTTCTTGAATGTTTTACTTGGAGGGTAAAATAACCCAGCTAAGTTTCTGGGCATGTTTGTGAAATGAACCCTTTCTAAAAAGACAACTTGCTCTTCTACAGTTGAAAACAATTCAGGGAAACAGAAAGAGGAGGAAAAATGAGCAGAAAACCTGCTGCTGATGCATGGAGATATGATTACAAAGCCTTAGAATGATGACACTTGTAAAGCCAGTCAGGCAGTCTTCCTGCAACAGACTGAGGCAGAAAGCACTGAAGGAAGCAACACTGAGCACAGCTGTGAAATGCTATTTAGTCATCTTCCCTCTCACTTCAGAGATCAAAATGTACCAGGTAGGCTGTGCAGTTCTAGGGACACACTTCAGTTCTGTTGAAATCCAGTCTTCCTAGAACTTTTATCTGAGCAGGAGCCTTGAATTTTCAGTTCTTTGGATTTCTTTTCCCACTGCCATCCCCTTCCCAACACCTCCGGTATTCAGAATCACAATGTAGAAAAATACAATAATGATATCAAAGGGGCAACATACAATGGGAGCTGTAAAAGTATTTCAGTGAGATAGAAAAGAAATTAAGAGCATGTAGAGATAGATGAGAGGAAGTGCTTTAGAAAGTGGTCAAATCTAAGTGGGCAGGCAAAGCAACATGGTAACAGAATCGACTGGAGGAACTTAAAATCCCTTTGAAAAGCAAAGACCACAACTGAGATGTAGAAGCTGAAACTGAAGTACCAAATTTAACATCCTTATGGGTTATAAATCAAACCCAAGACACCTATCTCCTTGAAAATAAAGAAAATAGCTTTGCATTGATTTCAATGGATTTCAGCATAAAGAGATTGCACAGAAAGAAAAAAAGACACTAGCTCCATCCCAAAGAATTTTAAGAAATGTTTTTGGTTTTTGAGATTTTTTTTTTAATAAATGTGCTTTGTTCACAAAAGTAGTGACATAAAAGACAACAGAGATGCCAACATGTTTTCTTCCTTTTCTTCTCCAGCACTTTGCACAGTCATAATTTTCAAATATTTCATAACCTAGAAATAATATTCTTGCACTGAAGTCAAATATACAATAACTCCTGATATCATCACTTTATTATTAAGGGAGATGTAAGTATTTATGTAAATCATACTTTCCTCCTTCACCACAATCTACTGTCCCTTGTGAAAAAAAACAATACAAACCAAACCAAAAAAGAAAAAAACCCCACAAAACCAAATAACCAATAAACCCACTTTGGGCATTCAGAATGATCAGCAAGAAAACCAAGCTGTTATGAATCTCAGGTCCCTAAACCAGCGTTGTCACCAACCTCCCAAAAAGGATTAAACTTTAAATCTCAGTATTTAAGCTATTTTGGGGGATAAATCTTGTTCTGAATTGCATTTCTTTGTGTATGAATCACAAACCAATTTACAGTAATCAATGCCAACACATGTTTGATGGTGTACTAGTTTCTAAATTGAATATCAGTTAAAATATTATGCATACTTTGAAGAATGCACATATTAACCTCCCATAAACAGGTGAATTTACAGCAGCAATATTTTAACATGAACACTGCTGGAACCAGTGGTTAATTGGGAAGAAAGGCTTTCAATGACAAACATTTTAATGAAAATACTGACTAAAAGCCAATTCTGAAGCCATTGTGTATTTCATTAGAGAAGTATTCTCTTTTAACAAAAATTAGCAAGTGAACCATGACTCTTGTATGTCTAACCTTATTTTTTTTTTCTTTTTACACATCAAAATATAATTGTTTGGTTTGTATAACTCTATAATCCAGATTGAATAACAAATTTGAATTAGGAATTTGGGAATGCTTTAAAGTTAAAAAGAGACACAAAAAAGCTTATGTCAAAGAATACAATACCAGAGTCCAGATCACATCTGAGTGTAAGCTGGACCAATGCGATTACTCTATGTAGGAAATACTATAAAAGAAAAACAGGTAGGACAAACTGTGACACATTCAGTGCAAAACTTCAACGGAAGGAGTAAGTTTCATTTTTGTAGCAAGCACTGTAAAATCCACACTACAACTTCAGTTTATCTAGCAACTTTTATATTATAAATACAACATGGCAGTTCAATGTAAGATATTTCATCTTTTAAGATATTTCACCACAATAACCTGTGAAACTGTATTAGTATTTTTTTACCAATTTTCAGAATGTGAAATAAGTCATGATCTGGCACCTAGTTCTAATAATTTACCACTAGGCACTTAGATATAGATTTAAGAGCCTAATAACCAAATCTGAAAATTCTGGCCATTATTTTAAATGGAGGAAAATCTAAATTAAACTAATAATGAATCCTCTTTTTTTAACCACTGAACAGAACTGATTTTTCCTGCAAAAACTCACAATTCATTACACAAGGTAAAAACTTAATAGATGTAAAAATAGATGTTTAATCTCTTTACCGTGCAGACCAGTTTTCAGTCAGCTATGGAGTTTTTATTTAACTGAAGTCAGCTGGGTCCTAATAAACAAAAAAACCCCATGTGTTAAATTCATGTGTGTGGTCTGAATTACATGGCTTTATGCAAATATGTGTATCCTTGAAAAACTTGTAGTCACTGGCTAACTTAGGTCTACAAATAAGGACAATTAATGAAAAAGTTGTTTCTTTTTAAAATGCATAAATAATTTACTTTAAAACATGACAAAACCCACTTTGTCCCCCAGAAAAACACAGTTGGAAAAGAATACAGAACACCATAGTTGGGGAAATACTGATATACATTAGTGCTTGTATATTCAGAAAACTGCAAAACATATTCCAGCTTTGAAGTGAAACATAATTGTCTAGACGTACCATACTCCTCTGGAGGAAAAGCCTCTTCAGAAATTGCTATTTATGTAATGAAATTACACAGTATGTAGAACTACGGATGAATATATTCCAGTGTTTTGGTGTCACGTTACAAGGGCTGCAATAAACATAGAATCAAATGTGCAAGCATTATTGTTTCTCCAGCCCCGGCTTAACCAGAGTGAAACAAATTTTGGAAGAAAAAAAGTTTTGTTTCATAATTAAGAAAGGACATTTGTAACCAAGTATCTTATCTGCACATTTAATTAAAGTGCAAATTATTTCTTCCTACATATACTTCTCAGAAGACCACCAACTCCAGTGCCTTAAGCTCAACCACATTGAGTTAAAATACTGAAACAACATTTAACAAATTAAATAGAATTCACACTTCACAGCACTAAAGAAAAGAATGGTACCTTTCTGGAAAAAAAAAATAGTGATACAAATCTAAAGAAAGTAACAGCAATTTATGCTATGACACGAGCCATTTGCATAAAACTTGTATTTTTTCACTTTCATACAAGAATAAATTTTAAAATTCAAAAGTAGAAAAAAATAGCAAACTCTGTAAACCTTTGCATTTTCTTTATGCAAACCATTTTTCTGTGTTGAGCCCATGTTAGTATAGCAAAATTAGTTAAGCAAGAGGTTTGACTGAATGGGCATTTCAACAACTACATTAACTTAGAAGCAATATAGGATCTTCTAGCTCATAGAAAGGAATAGAACTAGACTGGCTTTCTCCAGAGTCTGAGTCGTAGGGAGCATCAGGTAGCTCCATGAAACCGTAAGCTAGCTGTTCATCCTCTGTGTCTGACCGAACATAGCACGCAGTGCTGGAATACTCCTCATCCTCTATACTGTTGAAATCCTGTGGGATATACAACATCCCCGGGTAGTTCCTGCTAACTAAGTCACTTGTTGTTTGCAGGGAAGTTTTCCTAAATGCCATCAGGTGCATGTGAGAAAACTTGGAATACTTGAAGCGTTTAAAACCCAAGGACTCGATGGCAATTTTCCAGCTTTTCATCATCATAGCCCGGCGATTCTGATGAGATGAATCAGGAGTTATTACAAGCAATAAGCCATTTAATACGAGAAGTTCATGTGCCTTCTTGCAGCATATCCATCGTTGATAGGGTGATGGAAAGTAAGAAAGAAGGAGCGAGAAAACGACAACATGGAACAATTCTCCAGGTAGAGAATCAATGGGATTTTTCAGTTGCTTAAGAAAGGCATCTATAGCATCTTGTGCCAGTTGAAGAGGTTGCTGAATTTGAAGATTTAGGAAGTCACATTTGTATACGCTCTGGTGGAGTGACAAAAACAGAAAACCAAACATCAAGGTTAGTTTAAAGAGCAAATACAACCAAAATCCACAGAAAAATAAATTATTCCCTTAAAACTGATTGTTCAGAGTGACGTGCTAACTTTAAGAGTAAACTTTACTAACTTTACTTCAAGAGTTAAAAAGTTAATGGTCACATATACACAGTTAAAAAAAAAAACAGTTTAGACTGCAAGTATTTCTAAGTAGAGGAGAAACACAAATTAGTAATGCAGAAATAATGTTAAAGACAATTTCAGGACTAAGGTATGTTTCATGTGGAATCTGTAATGAGTTTTAGGACAAGAATGCTGTTAAACTGGAATCTGCTACTGAACTTTTGATATACAAGTCTAGAACTAATGTTTAAGTCCTCAGACACTAAAACAAAGTTATCAGTGCATCCTCTGACACTTAAGAACACAAACCTACTTATGTGGATAATTTGCACAGATATTTCACAGAATATTCTGAGTTGGAAGGGACTCTCAAGTATCAAGATATATATTCTAAATTTAACTCCAGTACCCTTCCACCCTTTTATTTACTTTTTTTTGGTCTCAGGCTATATTTACTCCAAGACAGCATCTGCTATACACTCCAGCCTCAGTTTCCATCCTCATAGCTTCTAATAATGCATGTTTCCCTCAGTGTACTTTCCACCAGGACATCAGGAAGTGAGTGTATGCTGATTAACTAAGGAAAATATTAATCTTTTCTTGGTAAGCAGTTTCCCTCTCAAAACCCAAACCCCATCAATGGAAATATATTTCCATATTCAACGGTTTGCATTCTGTATGTGAAACAGAGATTCTAAAAATTTTGAAGACATTTATCCTTTAGTTACATAACTAACATTTCAGTTCCTTTCCTTGTATTTCCACAATTACATCCTTCTTATTCCTCCAACTAAACTGAAGTATTACTCACCTACTTAGTCTATATCCAAAGCATTTCTATATGAAGGTGGATGATATTTTTTATTAAGGAAAGAACTATTTAGCCCTCTGATCAACATTACTTAAGAAACTGGCTTTGTAAGAAGCCTCTGTGCTTCAATTTGTTTTAAAAGGTACTTTAGGGTCTTACCTAAGAAATCTGCTAAATCAGAAATTTTTGCCAGTTTATTTTATTTTCAGCTTATACCACAACTTCTCAAAATAATTTTTCAAGTCAGGAGATGACATTAACTACCATAATAAACCTCTGGCTGTTATTCCGCAAACCTTAAATCAGCCCAGGCAACTTCTGCCCTTAAAAGATAAATTTATTCAGAAGTCATGGTGTTGATGCAGCTCAAAGAAGAGTCATCTTCAGTACATCAGGGCTCATTAATTCTGTTCTGGAGGTAGGACTAAGCTTATTCTAGCAAATGCATTTGACTGCTCAAACTGTACTCCCTTGTCCCTCCAAGAACACTTGCCAGCCAGGCTTCAAGGTGCCCTGAACAACGCAAAGCATCTAAGACAATCAAAGATATTGGTGAGCCTGAGACAGGCCTCAGAGTAAGCATTTGTATAACCACATGTACATTAGCACTCTGGGAGTTCCCACCATGAAGCTGTGGTACTAACCACGTCAGACAACCAGAAATCAATTATCTTATTGTTCCCTTCTACAGGGGAGAACTGGTTAGTACATAGAAATTGCATATGTTCCTCCATTAAATCCACACAAGTTACTTTTTCAGGACTTTTTCCAATAAAGGTTTGGTCACTGTACATTTAGATTGATTTTCATGAGAAGAAATGTAGCTTTCTTAGGAAAGCAGAACAACAGATTAGTAGACAGAAAAATATTAACTAGGCATACTCAAAAATTAATGTTTAGGTTCAACTCATGTAATGCTAGGTACCTAGGCTGCCATTATAGTCACTGGAGAATTAGTGACCCAATTCACCTCACCATGAAAGAACAGCAGATATTTAGGTTTGACTATTTTTAATAGATCTTCACTGACTGTAATTAGAACTTAGCACCTGAGATGTAGACAAGACACTGATCTACGTATCACAGCTAGAAATTCACTTGCCATGCATTACCATTTTAAATGCCACAGGCTGCCACTTCAGTGGCATGTGTCTTTTTTACCTCCTGTGTCATGCCCAACAGCCCTACACAGTCCTACAGCCTCCAAAGCCATGGAAAGCAATCATGATGCCTGTGTTTCAAATTAGGCAAGACAAAATCTACTCAAAGTTCGTGTTTTAGACAGAACTAACATTGAATTGCTTTTGAAAGAAATTTATCAGGCTCAAATTTTTAAAGAATACCTTTCAGTATTCAGCATCAGTATCTCAGCATATATGCAAAACTACAAATTGAGGTGTTTATGGACTAAACATGGTAACAACAACAAACTACCAGGCATTTAGCATATAAATCACACTGCAGCAAATAAGAGAACGTTACTTTCAGTTAACTGTATTATTTCATCTGTACACTTCTATTCACCTCTCCACTTCTAAAGAGGATTGATTATCTTAAGCCACAGATTTTAATATAGCCTGATTTTTAACTCTAAGTAGTCAAGGTGTGTATAGTCAAACGCTTCTCTGTTTTCTGTCAGAAATGTATTTCTGTGTCTTTTTAAACATTTTTATTCTACTTTATCCTTTTTTGTGGTTGATAAATGCAGTTAGTGCTGACAGTTCGGTCAAGAGCAAAAGACAAAAAGATGATAGGATTACAGCAGAATTAAGGCATTTGAGAACCTTATTGCCTAGAGAAAATGAAGCAATTTACCCCAAATATGCTGATAAATTTGTCCTCTGGATTTTGGAAGCTCAAAAATACTTCTAGCAATACACAGAAATGCTCCCATATAGGGCACTTCTGAATACTACATCTCCCCAGAAAAACTCACCAAATACAGTTGTCACCCATCATTTCCTTCTGTCAGTGAATGCAGCTTCTGAAAGGCTCTTGCCTAAGCACAAGCTTACTTAATTGTTATTTATACCTTTTAAGATGCAAGGACTCATCTGAAATACTGTTAAAAGATGGCTACTAAGATTTTCAAGATTAATAATGCCATTATAAATGCATGGCTCTGGGAAAAAATTGTATTTTTTTAAAAGAAGACACACCTAGGACTTTAGTGTCTGTTAATGGAAAAGGATGTAGTGTTTAGTTCCTACTAAAACAGATATTTAAAAAGCATACAAATATCAAACATCCTCTTTTACAGTTATTTTGAGGCATTCCACAAATCTAAGGATCAAGTTTATATTAAATACAGCAAACACTACATACCTCAACAGCTGGTACAATGTCTATGCCAACTGTCAGAAACTCTTCAAACTTCAGAAATGGGTTAAAGCAGCTACCAACATCAAGTAATCTGATCTTTCCCAAGGAGTGAAGGAACCTAAGAAGTAGCAAGAATTAAGTTTTATCAAATGTAACTTTTAAAGCTGTATTCTGAGTCACAATTTCAGGTAACTAACGCAACAGATTCTCACAGAACACCACAGTAGTGACTGATAGAGGTGAATGCCTTACTTCAATTGCTGGGTTACCTAAAGAACCAAGCTCCATCAATAAAAGCAGGTGGTCCTCAAGCAGAAGAATTTTGTTCAGAGCAGCTGTAATACTATAAACTTGTGCAATTGTAGTAAGTAAATAAAATGGTAAACTGTGTGTCTACTAGTCAGGCTTTCTCATATTGTTTTGTGTTTCTCACTTTATTTTCTGAAGTATTTACTGATTTTGAAGTCATACTAGACGCCAGTTAAAATTCATGAGTTGAAATGGGAAACAGAGAACAGCTACATAAATTGCATCATTTACAGTGTTGCAATCTAAAAAAATTCCATGATGATTTGTAACGTCTTAGAATATCCAAAATCCATTAACAGAGGCAAACAAAGTCACAGCTGTCACAGGGACTTCACAGAGATGAGAATACCAATAACCCTCCAGAAAGAAAATGTTTTTTGCTTCATGTTTCTGTAGCCAAAACCAACTGGCATCTCCAAAATATAACTTGTCATGTTTCTGGGAAAGGCTCAGCACTGGAGAGACAGATAACTGCAAAAAACTTTCAGAAACAGAGGTGCAGAGCCAATGGAGTAAAACCAAGCCATGGCTGCACTCATAGCAACAACAAAGCAGAAAGGAAAGAAAAGCCTCTAAGCAGCAGTAAGAGATCCAGGCTCCCTGTGCTCCTTCTAGACTCCCAGTAACCTACCAGAGAGGAAGTCGGAAAAGCAAGAGAAAATGTCTTGCTGCATTAGGCAAAATAATGGCAAGTTTTGTCATTTTGCTTCTACATGGAACTAAAGACATCCAGGGCACACTATAGTCAAAGCTGCAAACATTACCAAGCTGCCCTGTAAGTCAATCAGTACTGAGGGAGTTTTCAGAATGAAGATGAAAGAACAATTCTTCCAGATTTGGAACAGGAATTTGAATACTATATCGGCAGATCCTAGTAGCCATAAATCACAAACATGGACTGAAGTCAAATCAGAGATCTTTTCCCACATAAGGGTAATCTGAGATTTCTCAGATTACCTTGTCTAGCAAATGGAGACACTAATGGCAGATCCTTCCTCACCCACGGACAAAAATGTGTGCCTGTACGAATGCTTACATTCTATATGAGAGTCTAATATGCTAATAACAAATCAATGGACACATGGGACCACAGGAAGCATAACAAGAGGAAACAGGATGCTACAGTGCAGAGAATATTTCCCATAAAAAAGAGAGCGCCTCTAGAGATCTAAACATGTTCCTTTTAAAATGTTCAGTGAAATACTTGTACAGATTAAAATTAAGCAGCAAATACCAGAAGCCTCTAGTTTCCAGGACAGCCACTTCACCTATGGTACAGTGAAAAAAAATCACTGTGATGTATTCTGTCTTCCTATTTACAAAAGCTACCTTTTTTAGATATATTTATACATTACTTGAGAGAGGATTATATGTGGGATGAACAGAATTATTGTCTTTACACCTACCAGAGTAAAACAAAGAGTCACAGGCTTAGTCATACTGATAGACAAACCCACACTCCTGTAGTGTTACATGACCAGAATGAAGTGACAGTCTTTAAACACTGTGCGTAGGTTCCCCCATATCCATTGTACCAACTTTGAGACTTCACTGCTAGATCAGTGTAGACATGATAAAGCATTTCAGGAGAGATCTCTGCTTTGTGTAACACACAATCCATTTTCTTTCTGATAAACTGTAATTTCTTCTGTAAGGCATCAAGAAAAAAAAAAGTAATTTTGATTTCTCTGGGCAGCAACTTAGACCAGTTATGCCTTGTTGTTCACGGTCTATATGGCTACTAAGAACTTACAATCATTGGTAGCTTTCTCAGGTAAATATTATAAAACTTGCCTTTGCCAGGTATGTCTTTTGAGGTGTGTATATTTTTAAACTTCTGAGAATTAAAATAAAAATCATCAGCACTCACTATACTAACAAATAGTCTAAATATGATTTATAAAACTTTTCTATTAACTCCTTTCTGTACACATTAGAACAAAATGGAAGGCTACAAATAACTGGTAGCAAGGCGGCAGGTGAAGTTAGCTCTGCAACAGCCACTATCAACTGCAGAAAGTATGAAGACAGAGATCAAAGAGAGACCAAAGAGGTGCAAAGAGAGAACCAATGCTTTATCCTGACAATGCCTCCCACTGGTAGACAGCTTTAAAGTGAATATGATCATCAATCATATTGTTTTAAACAAACATGAGAGACACAAAAGACACCAGCTCCTAAGGACAGACACACCTATTAATAACATTAGTAACACATCATTCTTTCCTTAACTTACACTACACCTAGCTTCAAGTAAGTGCTGATCACAGCAGACATGCTACTTCTTTACACACTAGAAAAAACACTGTTGCAGGAAGTTCAAAGAACTAATCTATAAAGAATATGAAAGAAGTCATAAGTATAACTTTTATAGATTCTATGCTTATGCATTAATTATTCACTGTACTTGCAAAATATGATTTTTTTTTCCATCACACATGGAATAGTCACAAACATGACATGCTATTTAGGAAAAAAAAATGCAGGGTGAGACTTCAGAAATAATAAAGTTAGTCTTGGATGCCAAAAATAAAATTCTTGCTTGAGTGAAGGTCACAAACAGAATTAAAACTGTTGTTCGGAAAACACCTCAAGGATACTACAAGTTCTGCAGAGCCAGTCATCAGAGAGCTAGCACATTAAAAGTTAAGGGTTGTAATTCCAAATTGCTTTTGAAGTGTGTAATTGGAATCAAGAGTTTCTCTGCAGTTATTTACGAAGAGAAAGTTTTAAGTACTCTGATATTTACATTTGGCACTTAGTACTTACACAAGCAATTGACTTTTCAACAGTGCTGAACAGCCATTAGATTCTAACTTAATTAACATCTCCCTTATTTCACCTCAAGGTTTAATATAAATTGCATTGCACACCAATGACATATTAAAGTGAAATTGCTTTAGCACTAAAATGAAGATGACTAAGTTGTCATTCTCAAGCAATTTTTTATGGCATTCACCAAAATATACTACAACATAAACAGCTCTTGAAATGTATATATTCACATGAAAATTGCCTTTCTTAACTATTAAAAATACATCAGACTGATATAACATGTTCTGGGGAAAAAAAAACATCAGGGTAAGTTTTAACACTCAAAAAAAGGGGAAAAAAGTCAAAACAAGTAAAACTTACTCTTCTGTCACAGCTTCGTGATTTGTCAAGCCAAAGTTTGGCAAAGGATCTTCAATCTTGGGAGTCTGAGGAATATTTAAAGCTGGAGTGGTTTTAGAAGCAAGAAGTGCTCTTTTTTCATCTTTCTCAAGTGCTTTTCTTTTTCCACCATTCTGAAAATATTCTCGGCATACACTGAGAAGACAAAAAGAAAAATTCCCCAGGAAAACTGAATGCTCTTGATAGTCACTACTACAGCTAAGATACATACCAGAGGGTGAAGCGATACAAGTGCTGTCAGCTTTTAAACAAATATGGGTTTTATTTCAACTTTGGTAAATCAGCTTTAAAAAAGATGTGATACATCCAACAGTATGAGTGGTGGGTTGGTGAGGTATTTTTTCCCCCCAAATTATGCCGTCAGTCACAGCTGAGTAAATATATTTAAATTTTTTTTATCTGGATAGACTTTTAGAGTAAGACAGCAGAAGTCTTGTCAGAACATCACCAGAAGGTTAACTTCAGGTCAGTTCTCCACTATAATGCAAAGAGTTATCAACTAACTCCCTGTCAACACAAGGTTTTGAAATGTGTGTCTTGCTGGCACATAAACTAGGGAAAAAGAAACCTAATCCAGATTTATGCACAAACTTACATTTTAATTGAGTTTACTGGGCATTTTTTAAGTAACAGACAGTAGGTGTATTATTGTCAAAGACTTATTTTAGCTTTCAGTTTTTTCCCCATATTTACTTATTTTTCTTCTGGGAACTAGAACAAAATAATTAATCATACTTGAACAGAAATATTAGCCAGTTTAAAGGAATTAATGTTACAAAAAAAGTTAAATAACACTTGTGTTCTTCTATCAGTAGTCAGCATTAGTATATGAGAAGCAAGCACTGTTTGAGAATAACTGAATTTCATCCACAAAATATAACTAGAACTGGAAAAAAATTGTTGCTGTGAAATTAAAAAGCTGGATTCACCCTGCACAATTCAGTTTAATTAAATTTGCCATCCAAGTATTTGCACGGAAATTTCAACGGAAATAACACTTGTTTGAATAATGTTTTCTGAGTAACTCATTTTTATGATGCTTTCTTGAAATTCACTCCATTTTCCTGTAACAAAACTGCAGTGGTCTGAAGGAACATTCCACAAAAAATAAATTCAAGTGTAGTTTAATAATATCTTATACAAAGCAGGAACAAGATAATGACACTTCACATCACAGATTTAAGGATGGACATGCTGTATAATGGTGCATGTAGATCACAAATAGTGACAAAGACTTGGAATACACAGGGCTTGTCTAAGGTTTGGTGATATTTTAGGCACCAAATATGCCCAGTCTCTTCATCACCTAAGACATGATGGACAACAAAAAAAATGTCATCAGAGTGGCACTGAGTTTCTCAGATGGAAAAATACACAGACAGGTACAGATAGCAATAACTTTACCCCAGGATAGGTAAGAAAGAAGTGCCTTCAATCAGAAATTGTGTAATCACAGAATGGGTCAGGTTAGAAGGGACCCCAGAGGGTCATCTGATCCAAGCTCCCTGCTCAAGTAGTGTCATCCCAGAGCACATGGCACAGGATTGTGTCCAGAGGGTTCTGGAATATTTTCAGCGAGGAAGACTCCACCTCTCTGTGCAGTCTGTTCCAGTGCTCAGTCAGCTGCACAGTAGAGAACTTCCTGTGTATCAATTTCTGCCTGTTGCCTTTTGTCCCACTGGCTGCCATGACCACACAGAGCCTGGATCCATCCTCCTGACACCCTCCCTTCAGATTCTGACAGACACTGATGAGGTCCCCTCTCAGTTGTCTCTTCTCGAGATTGAACTGGCCCAAATCCCTCAGCCTTTCCTCATAAGACAGATGCTCCAATCTAGGCTGCAATACTACCAGACATACAGACTGCAAAATTTTAGCAGCACCACCCATTACACACTGCACGTATGGAAAGACAACAATTCTAAAACTAACTAAGTATAACAAGCCAGTCACTTAATTTAGCAGGAAAAAGATTTTTAAAAGGTCAATAAACAAATGAGAACTCCAGAAAAAACCACTTGCATTGCTGCTGACATACTAATTCAACTGTATTTTACACATTGTATTATTTATTTATAAGCATATGATCAATTTAGAACTATTTAGTTCTATGTATCAATTAGTCAAAGAAATTAAACTTGGAAAGAAATATCTTTTTTGTCCATTTATCAGCTACTGCACCACTTTGTTAGCACCCTGCAGTCTCTATTTTTATTCTAAGTCTTTTTTTCTCATTACATATCTTAAAACATCCAGAATCAACAGCAGTTCGAGTAGTGTTGCACTGCCATGTAACACATGAGAGAATTCTCAACCTTGGAAGAATGTTTTCTTTTTCTTCTCAACTATTCACGTTATCAACCTTTTAATTCCCTAGAAGCTGGTATGCTACCCAGTTCAACTCTTAATGAGCACGGGAGAACCACCTACTTGTAAAGCGTGACTTCCTCTTGTCACAGCCATTTCTTCCTCATTCTTGGTACTGATGCAAATAAGTGTTTCTTCCATCTTTCTACTCCTATCCATGTCAACTGAGCTCTCGTAATTCTATATTCTTCACAACAGACCTTCTTCACTTGCATATAAGACAGTACCAACTCAACCACAAAGAGAAGCATCTCCTACTTCTTCATTTACCCTGGTGGACAACTGGCCAATGCCACAGGAAGGCCCAAGAATGGATACAATTCTTCACATTCAGATCCCAGGCTCTGCATACCGACGCAGTACCACAGGTTACCAAAAAACTCTAGCCAAATCCACCCAATCCAAACAAAAAAACCCTCAGATCACACTGCACTTCATAGCCACTGAGGGTTATTTATCTTCCCTTTACGCGTTTCTGATGTCACAGTCATCCTGGCATGATTACTACATGTTGCCCTTTTGGCTCCCGAGCTCTCAGAGGAGTTGCCTATATAATCCCTCTGTAGAAGTGACCTCCACATTTCCTGTGGGGTAACAGCAAGCACACAGGCACTAACTACACTGGTAGTTAGCAGAAATAATGCACTCTGCAGTTTACCCCAAGGTAACATGCTGGTGTAGCCAGATGTTTAACTTCAGAGCCATTAAAGCTATAATTGATCACCCTGGTTTTGAGTCTGCAGTTATATAAAATTCTACATTTAACAACTGTCTCAAGTAAGAAACAGAGCATCTCAATTATCTACAAAGTGAAAATTAAGGAATCTATTTTATAATTCTAAAAACTGATACGGCTCCATTTTTAACTGACAAACATTCACTCTGATGACACAATATTAGCTCTGAATAACTGTGCAATGTGAATGCTATCTAAGCTGACACTTGCTACAGTTCACACCAACTGCGAAATAAATATTTCAGGTCTAAACTGTTTCAGTTTCCTGCATGAGAGACAGGTTAGGTTTCTGGGTGAAGTGTGAAGTTAATGCCTTTGCTTTAAAAAAGAAATCAAAAAATCAAATCTTTGTATTTCCTCAGTGAAAACTTATTTTCCATATTTCAACTCTCAAACAATAAATAACCTGTCCCAGTTGACTCCCCTGCTCTGTCTGCCATTTGGGTTGGACACATAAAGGAAGTCTCAGAAAAAGCCAATATGAATACATATGATTTTGTTAATCAAACATTCAACTGGCCATTGACCGGGAGTCCCAGGCTGCTTTCCAGTATTTCATTCCCCAGTCCATCCTTACATCAAGGGTTGCCCCATCCCAGGTGCAGAATTTGGCACTTTGTTAAAATTCATACAGTTGGTGATTGCCCAGCCCTCTAATTTACTAAGGTTTCTCTGGAGAGCCTGTCTGCCTTCAAGGGAGTTAACAGCTCCTCACAATTTAGTATCATCAGCAAACAATGTGTTTAACAGCAAAAAGTTAAGACTGTCATATAAATGTGAATATTGGACGTTGTCCTTTCCCATTTTAAATGGTTCCCCTCCTGCTGTTTCTGCCACCTTCCTCAGTTCCATCCTCCTTGCAGTGAATTGCTCAACTAATAGCAATCATCAAAAAACCTGCAAAACACTGTGGAAAGACTAGCAAACACTCGTGCATTTAATCTTCCAATTAAACAGGATCAGCTTTCCAGTTCTAGCAGAGATCTGTTATTCTCAAAGATCCTCTAACAGATTACTTAGCCTTCTCTTCTTTTGACTAGAGAGCTCCAGTTTCTAGAAAAGAACACCAAGGCTTTTGTGGAAAAAATAGAAGGTTTTTGATAATTTCTTTATCTTTCTTGGGAGTTGAACCGCTGTTTGTTATTTTTTAAATGCAGTGGCCAAGGTGGTATTTTGGCTAAGAGCAATGCTAAATTAAGTCAGAGTAGTACTTTACATATCTTGTGGACAATCTTATTAACACACTTAAGTATGATATTTGCCTCTACTGCAAAAGTATGCCATGACCACTTCATATTCAGTTTATGACCTGCTTCAGAATCCAAATAGTTCTTTGAAAGACTGACACAATCAATTATTCCCTGGCCTTTATTTATAGAGCTGATTTTAATATAGTAGATAATGTCTAGTAGAGTTTATAACTGCAATAATTTTAATTCTGCTCTCAGAGTGACAGTTCCTCTCTCTTTGGTCTCATTTCCAAATTTAATAAATACACTTTACTCTAGCAGACTGCTAATAAAAATATTAATTGGTTATGGATACAGAGACAAACTCTGACAGAATCCTTCTCAGCAAATCACATTTTTAAGATAAGCTTCTCACATCTATTCTCTGCAAATGTTTCCAAACAGTTCTGTACTCACCTGTCATTAATTTCATCAGAACTGTATTTCTTTACTCATTAAACAGTCAAAAGACTTTTTAAAAAAATGCAGGTCTAGATAGTGTTTTGTCATGATAATCAGAAGAGAAGATTTTATTTTTTGCTCTTTAAAAAAACAGTCAAGTCAACACAAGTATTAACACTGAGGAAAAAGCAACAGAAAGAAGCAAACCTGCTGGTCTGGCTTATTCTGTTCTAACTAGAACCAGAACAGGCTGGCATTCATTGTGTGTACAAAGGCTCACCAGCCTATCTATGCCAGCAAAAATCAAAGAGTTACAACAATTATTCAGGGTAAACACTACCTTAAACTGTTTTGTTTAAGTTTTGTGTTGTAGTATAAATGAAATAGAAGTGTTAATCTGCAAATACTACTTGCTACTCGCTTTCAGTTTTCTAAATGTATATAAAGGAAGGAAGGAAGAAACAGCTGAGTGTTGCCCCGGTTTTTTACACCACCACTCAGGGGATCATAAACCTGCATCTGAAAGCAGATAAAGTTTTAATACCTCTTCCCCCATCCCTCTCCTCACTTAACAGTTCTGTAATGTGTTCCTGAAACAATAAATAAAATTGGCTCTATTCAACTCAGCATATGGCCACTAGCACAGTCTATCAGGTACTGCTTTCCATTTTTTACAGTTTCTGGAGCCTGGATATATGTTCTTTAAATCAACACTAATGAAGAAGTAAAACAGTAAGTTTTGTCATCTCATTTAAGAGTTAATATCAGATTTTTTCCAGTGTCTTCAACAAAACGGCTTTTGAAAGGAAAACAAAATTGTTATTCTTGATCCTGAGAAGTATGCATAGCTTCTCTAGTGGTTATTCTATGCTATCTGATTTATTTTATCAATGCCTAGGAGAATACAAGGAAAATGAAGGAAAGAACAAAAACCCACAAAGTCTTTTGTACTTTTTTTTCCTTTTAACTGATGGAAAAAACACTTCTCAGTTTCAGATCACTGAAAAGATCGTCCTTCAAATTAAAACAAAACTCAGTCTCTTCTTTCTTCAGGAGGCATACACTGGTGATTCCAATCTATTTTCAGCACTCCACTCACAAATTAAAATTCATCTAATATGAAACAGCTACCTTCCTGCTGTCATGGTAACATAGTAATAAGCATTGAGCAAAAGCTTTCACAGAAGTCTCATGCCAAGTTCTCTTGCATGCAGTTCTGCACCCAGGCACCAGGTGGAGTAACAACAACGGGACCAGCCACCTGTCTGGCACACCTCTTGGCCCCGTGAGAAGGAACAAAAAATTGCAGAACACGAAGTCAATCTGATATGTTCTGGTATTTAGCAATCCAGGCCTCAGTATAATCCCAGAAGTTAAAAGTACTCTCTCTTTTTCTACTAATGTAAAAACTCCCCATCCCTTGACTTTGACAAAGCATTTTAGCGTCTCTTAGTGGGTGGATTCTTTTCCTAATATGAGCTCAGGCTGCAAAGCCCAAACTGGACATTTACTTCAATGTTTACTTTGTAAATGATCTATAACAGAAACCAAGTGGGAGCCCGAAAACCTTCTACATACAAGTCATCACTGTACACAAGAAACATTATCCTGTCCTACAGGATAACAGACAAACTTGCCACAAGTCACGGGATTATTGCTTAGCTGAAATAAAAGTAAGAACACACAGCTCTATTCAAAACGTTTCACATATTAGTTGACAATCAAACTGTAAGAAAATACCAAGCAATATTCCATGGAATCTGCCCTGGGTCCAGTACAACTATTTTTTTCACAGATAACCTGAACTGTGGAACAGTCAGTTTCAGTTCCTCATAAGTGATCTGAGAGTTGATGCCAAACCAGGGCAGGGTGGGAGGAAGATGCTGCAAGAAATTGCAGTATTAGAATTCAATATGATTCAAGGGAGTGTATGGTAGTAAAGAGAAATGTAAGTATCAGCATTTCCACAGAAGTAACGAATAGCACAAATACAAGTAAACAACTAGCAACTCAGGAAGCCTGTAACACAGAAATAGGCAGCAGGGCACCACAAAGGAGCGAAAGTCAATGTTGTGCCAATTACCAAAAAATAATACAAGCACACAAACAAAAGAACAAAACCAACAAAAAAAAAAAGCCAAGCAGGACCCAAATCCAACAAAATATCAAACCCCCACCAAACAAAGTCAATAGCATAAACAAGAGTCTACTACAATCTCAATAAAATCTATTTGATTTATCCCTGACAAAGCCATTGAAACGCTCAGTCCATTTTTGGGCTTAGTTTTTGTAACTGAGACACCTCTCATGTAATTGGGATATAGATACACAAAGCATGTCCAGAAAGGCATCTATAAAGAAACTTAACTATGACTTTTTTTTCTAAGCTAAAGAATAAAACATTGGTAAGTAAAAGAATGATTTTCAAATATTTAATAGTTTATGTCAGGGAAAAAACCTCAGCTTATTATTACTTGCTCCATTTCCAGAAGTCACAGAAGACCTCAAGCTGCCACCAAGATTAAATGTTTCACAGTCAATTCCCTCTTCTCGTTTTTGTTTTATGCGCTCAAGAGAATTTAAATTTAACAATACCACATCTACTGCTCTTCACTCAGCACTTTGCAACACTCACCTGCAGGACCTACAGATTACAGGACCTACCTGGCACACAAGATGACTTTCTGGTTTTCTGAAGTCATTCCGTTCCCAATGGCAAGACCACTCTCTTCCCATTTAAATCTCAACAGCATTTTGCTTTATTCTGCAGTACAGATTCCATGGTATGTCTTGGATGCCAACTGTATGCAGGAATTCTGAATGACCAACATCTCTCCTCTTTTTACTATTTATTTTCCTCAGGGACTGAAATAGTTTAGTGCCTCATTTCATGACTTTACTGTTCAGATAGCCCAGCAAAAACTAGATGTTTATGACTAACAGGAATTTTAGAGCTTCAAACACATTTAAAACAAGTTTCACAGGGGTAAAGTCTGTTACAGGACATTAAGAACTGAAAATTAAGCACCAGAGATCTGCATGTAGAGATCAAACACTACTGTATGTACAAATCAACCCAAACCCCTGAAAATTAAACTTCAGTTACACTCACTGTTTAGGTTCAGCTTAGGTTCAGAAGCATGGAAAATTACTTCATAGGTTTATTTGCAAACAGCTTCAGTATTTGAGAAAAAAAAAATGGTTTGTTGAAAATAAAAAAAGGATCACCTAATAACAAAACACTTCTTAAGCTATTTCCTTAGTAAGCTGGAATGCTAAGAAGGTATTTCTTTAAGAAAGCAGTAAAGTATTAATATGCTATAGGACAAATGCTAAATATTGGCAAAAAGTAAAAAACAATTAAGCTTTGTATTATAAATAATTGTAAGTAAAAGCATGCAATTGCATGTTTCAAATACATTATTTACCTGCAACACCATTCAATTCGGCCTTCCCCTTCACAAGTTTTTGCCCAGTGATTATCTGCAAGGTTTTTCATTGCCACAGCATATTCACACAGAGTTTCCTCATCCTCACAGTGCTCACGCCAGATCTTATCAAAGTCTCCCACTAAACAACACAAAACAAAAAAATTGCACATCAGATACAAAGTCTCTCATTATCTCCACAGCAAAATCCCCGTCCAGTTTAAAAGTTACATAAGGCACCAAGAGCTTACTTTACCCACACATAACAAAACCAGGTTCTTCTTTCTGTAGTCATAAACACAAAATTCCAAGTTTTGGGGCAGGAAGGGGCTGTCAGGTACTTGAGAAACTAGAAATATCAGTACATGGATTTTGTTCCATTTCTTCTGTGAAATTAAAGTCCCTGGGAAGTTTTGCTTTCAGGTCTCTGTGCATGAGCATTTAACACAACATTTTAGAAATGAAAGATTTAAAGGTTTCTGCTAGCATTCATATCCATGGCAAGTACTGTAGATGACATTACATGAAAAAGCCACGAAAGTTAAACCCACAGTATAGATTTCTTTGGGTATACTGAGAAAGAAATTCAGTCTCTCATTGATTGCTGCCTAATCTAGCCAGGCCCAGTAAATTAGCTTCTAGGGATAGTACTGAAGAATCAAACCAACTATGATCAGGAAATCTCAGACAAACTCCTCTGCTGATCTCTAGGGACAGGTTTATTTCCATGCTCCTCACCTTGCTGAAAAGAAGTCTTGCAGGTTAAGTTCTGGCTCTTCAAAGTAATTAAACATTATGATTTTCCTTCTTTGCTGTTAAGTATCTACTTCTCCTAGCCTGCTTTACATAATGTACTGCTAAACAAAACCCAGATAAATGCTAGTCATGGCTAGCCCCATTCCCTATACAGCATGCAAACCCTTGGTGTACCTTACTGAAAGGACATTTCTGTCCTAAGAAAGATGCTTTCCTGGTATGATGTTCACTAATTACTTTTGTGTTTCTTAACCACAAATGTGTGCACATGTCTGGAATATATGCCAATCTGCAGAATAAAAAATATTACTGATTTTGAACTTACAAGCTAATACAGCTAAAAATAACTTTTCAAGAACACAACTATATTTTAAGCTTTAACTTGGACAAACAACACGCTTTTCACAATATGGTTCCATCTTGTAGCATCTTTATATGAGAAGGAAATACTTTGAAAGTATATCAGCCATAAGCTAATAATAAATGTCTGTTAAAGCCTGAAAGTAGCTTACAGTATGACCTGTCCTCAAGCCAGTAAGAGATTGCTGTTTCTAACACGCTTATGGCAATTTCTTTGATGTACTTTGTTTCAATTAGCAGTAAATCAAGGACTTTTCCAGCGACAACCTTTTTATTTTTTTCCCTCCTATGCAAAGCAACAACAGTCCTTACCTCATTTGTCCTCGCTTACAGAAAGACTGGCCCTGATGGACAAGTATAGATGTATACTTAAAAGATTTAAATCAACCATCCAGGTTACTCCCTACTTAGGTTTGGGTTTAGGGATGTCACAGCAATTTTCAGAAATAAGCATCTAGTACACTTGTACAATCATCAAAGTGAGTCATGTTTAAAATTAGGTGTTTATACTCCCTAGTCTGAGATGGCATTTGAGATGGAAGGGAGTGGCTGAAATTTAATGTTATCAAAATGGGGAAGCTGTGCAAGAAATTATGTATTCTACTTGCTATTCAACAAGCATATATGAGAAAGTTATTACACTGGACAAAAAAAAAAAAAGAAAAAAGGTATAATACTGAATGACATCCCTCATTATTTTCCAAATGATCCAAGTTCAGAGAGGTGTGCTTTATAAGAAATAGTACTAGCAAGGTCACCAGCTGACCACCAGAGCAGAGAAAACACCCAAGTTGCAGGCAAATCCCCACAGGGGGTTCTGCTAAAACCTTTGGGACACTTTAACAGATCTTTCAGGAGAGCCTTCTGTAGAAACATACATGCAGAACAGGACATACCCTATTGACAAAAGGGGGCAGAAAATGGCAACAAGAGTGACCTACCAGCACAGGGGGCAAAACAAACACAACTCCTAGCAATCAAAGCACTAGTAAAAATTTGAAGTGATTCTCAATAGCAAATGAATTCTGGCACAGCTTAGACAAAGTGTTGTAGTTTCTCCAACACAAGACTCCGAGTCCTACTGCCTGCTCCAGACAGCTGTGAAAAGCTTCAATGACTCACAGTTGCTAAAGATTTGTTTGAATACGTGGCTGACTGGAAAGGTAAAAAGTAAATGAATGAACACTTTCTGAAGGAAAATATCACAAAAAAAAAATCTGAAGTTTATTACTGTTCTTTTATTTCAATACTTCACCTGGTCTATCCTGAAGCAATTATTCTATTTTCAAATACCCCCTTTCCTTAAAGCTTAAAAAATAAGAGAGATGGGAAAGAAGAAATATGCAAAGACCAGACGTTCTTAACCAGCCTACCCTCAGTAACATCAAAGTGGTGATGCCTTCTAAGAGCGAATCCTGCACTCATAGCAGCTGCTCTGATTTCCTTCTGAACAAATCACAGATTTGCACCAGTCCCTGGAAGTCAGATGAGGGTTAAAAGCATCCCCAGATGAGGGGTCTTAAATTGAGACATACAGCAACAGACCAGAGCTGACTACCAGCACACTGGGATGTGAACTTTGGGTTACAACACAGCTGCCTATAAGAGTAACAGCTTCTTGGCTCTGAGCTGACAAGAAAATAAAATTGAATTATACAGACCATGAGGAGAGAGATGCAGAACAAAAGTGAAAAATTCACCACAAAGTAATTCTGTCACACATTCTATATTAAGTCAATTCTATGAACACTTCTGGTTTATTTTCATTTACCAATACCAAGATACAGAAATTGTCTACATGGGACAGATGCAGCCCTGCTTTTGTATGAGGAGCACTGAAATAGAAGAAAGAAGAAGACAGATGAAACAAGGAGGGGACAAACTTCCACAAGATCACAACTGACAGAGGGAAGGTAAATATGGAACAACTTCTGGCTGTTCCAAGAATATGAGACAGACAGAGCTGCTTAAAAAAAACCAAAAAGTTATTTCCTTATAAAATGTATCACTAAGCTTGAAGTTCATGAAGTTCATGCAGCTGGGCAAACTACAGGAAGAAAATCCATTACAAACTCCATATTCAAAGATGAGATTTCTAACTCAGGAGCTCCTAGACCACAAAATCACTAAAAGACAGAATGGTAAGCAAGCACAGTGATACTTCAGCAGCATTTTTCACTTTTTCTTGTCTAAGCATCTGCTATTGATCCACTGTCAATACTGATTTTGATACGATGCCCATTTCTCTGCTTTTTCATGGATACAAGCTCCAAACAACTGCAGACAGTGGGTCATCTTAAGGCACCGTTGTGCAGGGCCTTTCAAAGGGTCTGGTATCTAATTTCATTTGAGCAAGCAGCATGGCAGTGCATTGTTTTGCTGTGGTTTATCCTCCCCCACTATTTTAACATAGTGACCTTTGAGTAGACACAAACAGGCACACCAGATATAGAAACTTTAAATCCAGAATCATGCTCCACTACAGAGATGAAAATACAAACAGTCCTTCCTATATGTTGAGATTTTGATATAGTGACTATAACAAGTCTTGAAGCATGCAATTTCAAACTGATATCCAGAACACAGAGAAGGTCCACATTAATTTTTTCAATCAGTATATTATAATCCACTGTACACTATTTTTTCAAGAAATACATTATAATCCAGGTGCAAATATGGCATTAATTCTATACTCTAAACATTTATTTATGAATCAATAAATTTTTGCTTAGGCAGTAAAATAAACAGGAACGTTTCATGACAAAACTAGTAGTTACTAGAGAAATAAGATACATAAAGTCTTCTATTAAGTCTTCTAATAAACTGTATATTAAATAGCAGTTTGTGGTAGGTAAATCTAATAGAATAAAAAGAAGAGTCCTGGATCTTTGACCACATCCTAAAGTTAATATTTGATTTTGTGTATTAAAACTTTTCATACTCATGACCATACCATAACAAAGTTGAAGGCACTAAACACTTCTACTCTACACTTACCGATTACCTTTTATGCAATTTAAAACCTCTTTTGAGTGCTGAACCTTCAGAGATCTTCATAGGCCTAAGATCTCCATCAAGGAGCCAGATATGCCACTGTCCAGCTGAAAAGTGTCACTGGCAAATCTTGTAATAGGAGTTTCACACACCTCTCAAAGCACTATACCCACGTTATTTCAAAATTAATTAATGCTTGTTCTATTTTATTCAGAACCTAAAAAATAAATAAATAACCCACTCTTCACCTTGAAGGCTAAGTATTCCTTTAAAAACAAAAAAGGTCAAAGCCCACTGCTTCCTAGAATTCTGTCACTGAACAAATGACTGATCGACTTGTTCTTCGTAACACAGACTTTACAGTAACAACAATCCAATACTACTTACCTAGAACAGATGAATCCTTCTAAGTAATTTCCACCCACATTAATATTGTCCACAGAACAGCCATGTCATAGCCCTGAACTCAACCACAGACATATCAGCAGTTGCTGAATACTGTCACACAGAGAACAGGTCAGGCACGTAAAAGTTATTTTTAAATTATCCTAATTACAAGATAATTTTAATTGTGGGTAACAGCAATAGAGACCTAATGTTAGCTGTAGATTTTAACAACCAAAAATATTTTTAAAAGAGAAGAATCATACAAAATTAGTAAGAACTCCCCTAGCTCTGCATTTATTTACAAGTCCTTATCAGAGATTCTCAGAACACCATGAGAAGATCAGGTTTGCCATTCTTGGTGAGACAAACCTACACCATGATTCTTATCTCCAAGTAGTCTGTTATTAAGAAAAAAAAATTCAGCTTTCTTCCATCCCATTAAAAAAAAAATTATTTTTAGAAGTAATTTATTTGTACAGTGTTAAATTGAACTGTCATTTAAGGTATGCTTATAAAATAAACAAAAAATAATTAGGCAGTTTTTCTTCAACTTCTGACAGAACAAATAATGTCAACTGGTATTTTAAGAAAACACAACCTTTTGTAAAAAGAAAAAAATATACAAGAAATAGAGCTCAGCTCTGC